CTTACCAACGGTAACACTCTTGGTGGTGCTGGCACATGAGCTCTGTGCAACTGGACTCTAACACATGTGCTCACTGGGGATCGCACCTCCGACCATGGTACTCGCGCATGTTTAGTGAGTGACACGTGCACATGTGGCTGAGGTATCAGAGATAACACATTCTGGGGTGGGTGGCTGGGATCCCGGACAACTGAGTCATAGACATCTTGCTCAGTGCATGTGGGCTGCACTTGGGGCATGGGGCTCAAACCTGAGGTTTCATGCTTGCAAGGCTGATTTTTGGCTACTGAGCCATCTTGGGTCCCTGGACTTGACTTCCTTGAAAGGGAGAGGCGGGACTTGCCATTGACCCTTGCTTTTATGTCACTGGGATGGAACCAGGGAGATAGTGTATTTTATGACAAATTCCTGAAAGTAATATTGGCACGTGGGAACTACGGTTTCACTTAATTAAAAAAGAAAATTCTTCTAAATGAAAACTAATCCAATAGGAAGAATGAAGAATTCATAGTATCCCTAAACATTCACGATGTAGAGACTTTGGAGTTAATTTTGGAAATGGAGGCCCAGAGGTTAAGTGACTCACCCAAGGCCCCACCTCTCCAGAGGTAGCAGTAAATGTGCCATCACCCCTCTCACTCTGAGTTCAGTGAACCTTTTACAACCTTCTGCTGCACTGACATAAATGATATCATTTCACTTAGCAGGTGGTTAGATTTCCAATAAGCTCTACTGCAAGGGATGTCGTTTGAATGAGGAAGTCAGCAAGGTTGATTAGCTGATTAAATGTTTGGTTATCTAAAGATCAATCAGAATGCCGCTCTTACTTTAACCTTTATGGTCGAGACTCATTCACAGTGGATCTGTCACAATTTCTGCACCTAGCAAGGGATTCTGGAAGAGTGCGAGCTTTTGAAGGAGAGGGGGCCTTAATCAGTCAGGATTGCACAGGACTGGGTGGGTCGGAATTCTGAAAGAAATTCTGTTGGACTTCAGCAGAAAACCTTCAAGCAATTCTTACCTCAAAACTAGCTGAGACTTGTTTTTTTTTTTTAAAGATATTTCTGAAAGAAAAAAAAAGATATTTCTGATTTAGTTTGCTTTCTTTTGATTTATATTTTCCGATAGGGTCTCTAACAATTTTTTTCACTTAACTAAATTTTTCTTTTTTAGAATTTTGGTTTTGGGGGCTTTAATTTGTAACTTGAGCCTAAATTTCATCTGCAATGTCTGAACTTGTCAACTCTGTTGTTATCCTGGAATGCATTGCAATTGTGATATGGGAATCATTTGGGAAATCACTTAACATGAGCAAGACTCAGGCTTCACAGCTAAACTGGGATATGATTTTGGCTAAACCATTTCTCCACTTGTGCAGATCTGGCACCAGGATGGGGGTTGTTGGGGGAGGTCCAAGTGACCAGCTCAAGGCCAGCAATGAGGCCCAGGTTAGGCCGCAGTATTGCAGGATTCCCCACCTTCTTTACCACACAACTGGTCGTAAAAGCTGTGTCTAAAGAACATAAAGGTAAAGGTAAAGGCCCTCCCGTTGTTTGTCGATTTGCTCGAGCAGGCCCAGTAACGTCTCCATTGGAGACTTTGTTGTTACTGTGTCTGGCATATCGAATACTCTCAGTAGCTTGCCGGGCTCTCTGAGAGGGGCGGAGGAATCGAACTCGGGTCGGCCATGTCGGTTGCCTGCAAGGCAAACGCCCTGCCGCTGTGCTATCGCTCCAGCCCCACCTGGATTCTATTTGCTAATAGTTTGTTGAGGATCTTTGCATCTGTTTTCATTAGGGATATTGGCCTGTAATTCTCTTTCTTTGTAGTATCTCTGTCTGTTTTTGGTATCAGGGTGGAAACTTGCCTCATGAGTGGAGAGGAGAAGGCAGATGGAATAGAGAAGGGATTACTAAGAAAAAGATGACAGGAGGAATCAGTCGGGATGGGAGATGTGTGCCGAAAGTAGATAATGGACCAAACGTGATGACCTCTCAGTGACTGTATTGCAAACCATAATGCCCAAAAGTAGAGAGAGAGAGTATGGGGAATATTGTCTGCCATGGAGGCAGGTGGAGGGTGGGGAAGGGGGGTATACTGGGGATATTGGTGGTGGAGAATGTGCACTGGTGGAGGGATGGGTGTTTGATCATTGTGTGATTGTAATCCACATGAAAAACATGAAAGCTTCTAACTTTCTCACAGTGATTCAATAAAATTAAAAAAAAAAAAGAACATACTGAAACTCTCAGTGGCTCTGGGAATGGGAAGAAGCATTCCACTTTGCACACTTCCCTTTCTGTCTTCTATTCCTGCAGAGGTGTCTCAGTGGGTGGAAGGCACCAGCCCCATGGAGAATGTTCGGTGAACAGGCCGCAGAGCCCAGCCCTATTCAGTAGCCACTTTGTAGTTACCTATTTTCCGAGGCTTAGTTGTTGCTGATTTCTAATGTGGAAAGTTCAACCCAAGTTTGTTTCTGAATCTTATGGGCCAATCCCTACATTTGATCCACAAGACTGATTATAATGTTAAAATTTTTAGCAGTTTTTAACCCCACCGCACCCCTCCCCGTTTTCTGGGAACTCAGGGGCTGTCCCAACTTGGTGCTCACGGATCAATCTTGGAGTTGCTTGGGGTAGTGTGGTGCCAGGGACCGAACCTCAGTCCCTCCTGTGTACCAAGTCCAGGCTCCAGTCCTTTGAGGCATCTCCCCAGATCCTCTATATAGTCTTGCCTTCAGAAAATCCTCAGCCCCTCCCTCACTGAGAAGAGCAAAGGACTTCTCTGAGTGATATCTTCAGAGTAACCACATGCCCAAGAAAACTACACACTCAAATGTGGCATGGGAATTAATGTGGCTTTAACTTTCAGGAAAGACTGCCGTTGCTGGCTCCAAGAAGGGGAAGGATGGACCTGGGCGAATTACAGGTAAATACTGGACATTGCCATTGATATCAGGGGCTGGTAGGTAGACTACTTCTTTTGTCATTTAACCCTGCTGGGGTTTGTTCAGGTTCCAGCAGACCCCTGGTAGGAGAGCAGAGAGCAGCCCCCAGGCCTAGACCCATTTCAAGTGCAGCTTGTCTCTGGGTCTCAGGCTTGTCCAGTGAACTTGGTGGCATCCTATGGGCGGGGGCAAGGAAGTGGGGCTCCGGCAGTGCTGTCTGAAAGGAATCTGGGCCGTGGAAGTGGCAAACAGAGCTTTCCCTTTCCACAGAGGGAGTTCTGCCAACAACAGCCTGGCACAGAGCTGTCAGGTTCCAAAGGGAGTCGCATCCCTTTTGAGAGCCATCTTGTCCCCATGATGACACCTCAGCTCACTGGTAGACAGCATGCCTGGCATATAGGAGGCCTTGGGTTTGATCCGTGACACTACAAAACCAAAAACAGAATCAAGGCACATCCTCCTGCTGTGGTCTCAGGATGTCTCTGAAGCATCATCTTGGCAGAATTCACACAGTGGGCCTTTCCTTGACACCATCCTGACAATCCATTCCTCTCTCGTGCAATCCTTCCTCTCTCTCCCCTTTTCTCCTTTTCTTTCGAATCGATTTCCAAGATGTCTTTCTAATCATCCCGACACCTGCTCACGACCATGTCGGCATCTGCTTCTAGAGGAACCCAGTCTGCACAGAAATGCCCAAGCGAGTGGCCTTTTCATTAGAAACTGTAGCTTAGACTTTGTTGGACAAATGGACTTTCTTTTTTTTTCACTTCACCAAAAACGTTTTTAGAGAACAGACTCAAAGGTTGAGATGTTGGAGCGCTGAGGTGAGAAGCCACGTGGTGACAGAAGAATGAAGGTGACTTGTTTGTTCCTCCCTGTTTCTGGATTTGGGGTGGGGGTGATACCCTGCTTTCCTGAGAACGTTTAGAAACCGTTGCTTGAGGAGTTCATCAGAGAGTTGGTGTGTGGGGAGAGGAAGGAAGGGAAGGACCAAAGGAAGTGCTTCAAGTGAGATGCCCACTTCCTCAAGCCTGGGCGCTGCAGGGCCTTGTCTTATAAGCAGCTCTAAATCCAGGGCCTTCCCTGCCCACCGTCCCATCTCTATACCTCCGGGTACAGTGCAGCAGCCCCAGCTCCGATTTCAAGCAGAGACAAGAGAGAGGGGCGTAGACCCCCATTGTGCCCTGGTTTCCAAAGCTTTGCTGAGTCCCTGGCACAGGGCTTGCTGGCTGCTCAGCCCAGAGCAGGCAGGAGAGGCAGGCTGGAGATGAAGCCAGGGCTGTCTTAGAATGTGTCACCATAGAGTTGACACACCGGAGGAGAGAGCTAAGTACCACACAGACCTCTTCCTTCTGGTCTGTGCTTGGATCTCAGGGACACCGCGTGGAGCAGTGAGTGGCTCCTTCCCTGGAGGGTCTCCTGACTGTTGGCCTGCGCCACCGCAGATGAGCAGACTTGGGGTGAAGTCTGGTGTGTGTGGGGGGGAGGGGGCGGGAGAGCGGGCAGGGGGACACTAATGAAGCCCGGGGTCTAGGCTCCACTTTGCTGGAAGCCTGTCTAAAGCCGCCGGGTGAGCTGCGTTGGAGGGTCCCTACTTGGCGCGGGGGAGGGATCACTTGCTTCCCTGGCTTTGCCCTGAGACGACTTCTTACTGGATGTCCCCCCCTCCAGGCTGCCCAGCCCTCAGAGCCCCTGCCTGGTCTGGGGGATGGCGGGGGAGTGGAGGGGGGAGCCCCAGGGTGTGCGCCCACGGACCAGGCCTCTGCGCCGCGGAGGAGGCGGCGGTGCCGCGGCCGCGCAGGGGCCCCCGGGGGCCGAGCGGCGGGCACTCCCTGCGCAGCCGGGAAGGGAGAGCGGGGGCGCGGCGGCGCCGGGGGCTCCGGAGGAGGAAGGGGGCGTGGGTGGGAGCGCAGGCGCGCGCTCCAAGTGGGAAAAGAGGGTGCGAGCGGGAGCCCGGGGCCGGGGGAGCCCGCGAGGTGTGGCTGGGCGGCGGCGCCGGCCGAGCGCCGGGAGGAGGGGCGGGCGGAGGCGCGGGGAGCGCGTTTGGGGCGCCGCGGCGGGCGGTGCGCGCGGGGCGCGGTGTGTGCGCGCTCCCCCGCCCGGGGAGGAAGATGGGCCGGGAGGGAAAGTTGGGGTGACGCGCGCGCAGCCCCCGGACGCTCGGCGGGGGGCGCCGTGGCGAGCCCGACGGAGCGGCGGCGAGCCGGGCCGGGGGGCGCGCAGTCCGGGGGCCGCCCCCTCCCTGCAGGTGGCCGCGGGCGCGCGGGGTCCGGGCGGCCGGGGGCGCGGGCGGGCGCGCGGGGGAGCCCGGCCGAGGCATGGGCTGCGCCCCCAGCATCCACGTCTCGCAGAGCGGCGTGATCTACTGCCGCGACTCGGACGGGTCCAACTCGCCCCGGCAGACCAGCAGCGTGTCGCAGGGCCCCGCCGGCCCCCTGCACGGCCTCTTCGTCCCGACCGACGCCTCCGACGCCGCCGCGCCGGGACCCCCGGGCGCCGCCCGCGTCCGCAGGGCCCGCGCCGAGCTGGGCAGCGGCAGCAGCTCGGGCTCCGGGGCCCCCGCGGCGACCACCTGCCGGGGCCGGCGCCGCCACTGCTGCAGCAGCGCCGAGGCCGAGACCCAGACCAGCTACACCAGCGTCAAGGTAAGCGCGGGGCGCCGCCGCAGGGGGACCCGGGCGCACCCGAGTGGCCGAGACGCTGGGGCGGGGGTCAGGGCGAGGGCGGCCGTCACTGAGGAGTTTACTTTTTATTGGGGGCGGAGGTGTCAGGAGGGTCCGGGAAAGGGGCGCAGGGGAGACCCCCTGGAGTTGGGAAGGGTGGGGGTCCTGGGAGCGGGACCCGGGAGACGGGGCGCGGGGCCGAGCAGGTCCAGTCGCGGTGCGGGAGGAGCGTGGCCCTTGTGCGGAGCTCTAGGGGTTGGGAGCCCGATTGAATGAAATTTGGGGAGCGCAGGGCTGGAGGCGCACGCGGGCCCTCCCGGTGCCCGGCGCAGACCCGGCCCGGCCCGAGCCTCTGGCCCGGCGGGGGCGGGGGCGGGGGGGAGCCTGGGGCCTCGGGCACCGCCGAGCTCGAAAATTTGTGAATGAACGAGGGCGTTTCTGTTTCGTAAGGGGGAGATACAGGAAGGGGCCGAAGGGAGGGAGCCCGCGTGGAACCTGTTGTTTGTCACCACTCTCGGGCTGGTCGCATCCTGGACAAGGCGGAGAGCCCCAGCGCCTCGGGATTGGGATTCGGCCGAGCCCGAGGGACAAGAAGGGGTTTCCAGGGCGCGCAGCCGTGGCCAGAGGGAGGTTCTGCAAAGCTTGCAGATGTGGAAGGGGCGGGGCTGTAGTGTAGGGTGGGAGGTGGGGGGTGGGGGATGTGTACCTGATTGAAACGGACTTTGGGTATTTCTTAATGACGGAAGAGAAACGATGACTCTGGCAGTGCCCTCCGTAGGTTCTGAAAATACTACGGAATCCAAGAGGGTTTCGTTGTCTAGCTCGGCCAAGAGACCTCTTATCCTTCGGGAAGGCAATCTGACAATCCCGTCTGCAGAGGAGAAAACGCCTCTCTAAGAACCGTAATGTCATACAGATCCCCTCGCAGCACGTTGGGTCCCTTACCCAGAAGGGCGGCGTGCAGAATTCCGCAGAGACACAATTGTGTATTTCAAACGGGAAAGTTGTTCAACAAGTGGCTTAGTGGGGAGGCATGAGTTTTCATTGCACAGAGTCAGCTGACCCTGGAGGGATGAAGAGAAGCATGGCGTGTGCTTCTTTTAGTGATCTTATAAGATTGGCATCTGATTTTGTTACTTGAAGCTTCATCTACGTGGTAGGGGTTCTCTGGTAACAATCTTATTGTAGAATGGAATGTGATAGCTGAACCATGTCTTTAATGATGCTTCTCCAGCACCTACTCTGCACCCGCATAAGCTATGATTCTAGAGTTTGACATGGAACTCTAATGGCAGAGAATTCAAGCACTGGAGGTCTAATGTGTGACAGCACAGCCACCAAATGGATATTTGTTCCAGAAGCATGTGCTGGGTGCTATTTTTCCTTTACTCGAGTTTCTGCCTTTGCTTGTTTGGGTTTTTGTTTGCTTGTTTGTTTTGGGCCACACCTGGTGATACTCAGGTCTTATTCTTGGTTCTACACTCAGGAATTATTCCGAAGGTGCTCAGAGGACCATATGGGATGCTGGGGATCACATTCAGGCCCACCATGTGCAAGGCAAGCGCCCTACCTGCTGTACTATCACTCTGGCTCCATCTTTTAAAAATAGATTCACTTAAAGTTAGCATTAGTTGCAATTTCAGAGGATTCCAATGTTAGATTTGAGGAAATAATTAAGTGGAGGTGTTTTCAGCAATGGCCCTTCTCTTGCCTTCTTGGGGAGGAGGAGACAGGAAGATACTGGAGCTGTTCTCGCTAATTCCCGTGATACCTGTTTTGGGGCTTCAGAGTGTGTAGTTTTGGCCTCCCAGGGTAATTGGGATCCTAATATAGTACTGGGAACTCTTGTTACTCCCTATTTGTTCAGCAAGAGAAAGATAATGAATGAACTTATTCGCTGTTTCAGGACTTCCCTCAGGAGTCCACTTGAAGACCCAGTGGAGTAAAAACTGCAGGGAAAATGAGTCCCAACTGTTAACAGCTTGTTGAACCGTGTAGAAACAGCATTGCCCCCTGGTCGAATCTGTTAGAAGGCTTGACCTGCGTAGAAATTTATCTCGCTTTGCTTTATCAACAAAACTTCCCCAAATAAGAGCAGACTTTATACCTCCCCACGGCTAGGAATGTGAGGAATGAGGTTGCTGCTTCTGTGATCCACCCCCCAACTGCACATGTCCACCTCAAAAACTAGCCATTGCACATTAAACTAGCAATTGCACATTAAACTTGAGACCACTGTCCCTAGCGAGATAAATCACGCAGAATTGTCGTCATGGGATTGCTTCCATAGAGTTAATTGTCATTATTCTTTGGTGTTGTACTATACTGTTTAGTCTTCACATGTTGTGTGTTCTTTCATGGGTGAGGTCACTTCATAAAAATTTCACTTTCATTTCTTCTTAGAACTAGAATTTTTCTGCCAGAGGCGTTAGAGAGAATTTCTAGCAGACTCCCCCAAATTTTCCTCTTTGGTCCTGATTATAATGGTGTGCTCTTATTTATTTTTTTAAAATTCTTCTTTGTGCATCAATTATGAACTGTATCCTCGTTATCTACTTGGCCTCTGGTATTCCCCAGAGTGTAAAAATGTGTTCATGATCTCTCTCTCTCTCTCCCCCCCAGCAATAACTCATCTCATTAAGCTTTTAGAATGATGGAGCATTATGATGTCAAACATGATGTCAACAGGAACCTTCTTGAATACCTAATCTACAAAAAAATATTACAAACATTAATAATTCATACGCAGTACAATGATATCATATGGTTTCCATTTCTGGTAAGAAGTTAGCTTTGTCTCCTAGTAGCTGTAAAAATGCAACTTCCTAGCAATGTGCCTTCTTATGGTTTGCCTGTTTTATAAAAACGCTACACCAACAGGAGAATCCTGCCGAGCGCTCTCTCCTGAGAGCGGAGAGTGTGCCAGCTTTATCATTCCTGTTCTGAGCGCCTCAGAGGAGAAGGTGCAGTGCTGCCCTGGAAAAACCGGGGAATATCCCACGTCTCCATCTTTTACCTCAGAGGACATGGCTTGGGAGATGCCTGGACGAGGCAGGCAGTGGTAGAAATGATTCTGTGGGGATGGTTACAGTCACTGCACAGGCTTCTCCATGCAGCGTAACTGCATGGTGGATCAGGCACAGGAGGTTGTTAGTTTCAGAAAGGATGTCGTGCCCATGGGCAACAGCATCATTTCCCCTTTCTCTTGCATTTGTGGTGACCATCTATTCATTCAGCCAATTTTTGGGCCAAACCACTGCAGTTCTGCTAGGCACCCTGGGAATATCCCTATAGGTTGGTAAGCACAGGCTAATGGGAACTGTGAATCTATTGTGGGGAAAGGGAGCTGAGCTAGCCATTGAGGACTTCTAAATATCCGTTAGACTCTTAGATAGCTTTCCAAAATCATTGGGAATAACCTCAGTTGATTATATGTAAAGAGGAAAGATATATGTTCTTGCCCTTGTGGAAAGAACTAGTGAGATGTTATTTGGAGGAGGGCTAGTACTATTTTGAAATAAACAAGACCTTTTAGTTTGTTCTTAAGGTCAGTATCCTCAGATTTTAATGTTTTCCAGAATCACCTGGAGGGTATGTTAACCTCAAAATGACTGGATCCTCCTCCCAGAAATTTCCGATTCGGTCTAGCAGAGGTGGGTTTGCAAATTCGGAGTTCTCAGAGGCTCCATTAGAAGCCAATGAGGCTGATTTGGGGAACATGCTCTCTAAAACCAGTGCTTCTAAATGCATAAAATAACTAAGGAGCAGAAGAATTAGAGACAGCTTTCTCTGGCCAAGTGGATGGTGCTGCATGCACGCTACTCCACCGTTTTGCTGTGCTTCTGCACACTTGCCACTTCCACTCATGATGTCCAGTGGTGGGCCTCTGAGGGGCCTGGAAAGCCTATGCAGGGGTCCCGTGCTGCGCTGGTGGCTCACTCTGTCTTCTAGAGGGTCTGCTCCACCTCAGAATCCACCGGGGCATCGCTGCCCTTCTGTACTTCTGCTCTGCTGGACCACACTAGCCTGCAGGGGCACTGCAGGGAAAGAGAGGGACTTCACTGGTGCTAATGTGACCACAGACAGGGTCAGGCTCCGTTCTTAGCCCTTGGACTTAAGTGCTCATCTTTTTCGTTTCAGCAGTGCTATTGTTCATAGTGCTTGGGATCCACTCAAGGTGTCACACCCAGACCCTTTTCCATTTTAATTGAATTGTAGGTTCTGGTGGTACTCAGGGCTTATTCCTGGTTCTGTGCTCAGGTTTCACTCCTGGTGGGATGGGGGACCATATCCGGTGCCAGGGACTGAACCTGGGTTGACCATGTGTGAAGCACCTTCATCTTTGCACTGTCTCTCTTGCCCTCTTTTCTATTTTATATGAAGCGTAAACTTTTTTTTTTTTTGCTTTTTCGGTCACACCCGGTGATGCTCAGGGATTACTCCTGCCTCTGCACTCAGGAATCTCTCCTGGCAGTGCTCGGGGGACCACATGGGATGCTAGGAATCGAACCCAGGTTGGCCGCATGCAAGCACATGCCCTACCCGCTGTGCTGTTGCTCTAGCCCCTGAAGCATAAACTTTTGCAAGTCCACCCAGTTGATTTTTGCTGCTGTTGTTATTGCTGTGTCACTCCCAGCAGTGCTGGGGCCAGAGCGGGGTGTCTGCAGTGTCAGGGATTGAAGCACATGGTCAGGCATGTGCTTTGCCACTTGACTCACATCCTGGGCTCCTAGTTATCGTCACCTAGAACTTGTCAGGCTAACTCTGCCTTTGTGAACATGGCACGAGCTGCTGACTTTTCAGAGGCAATGTTTATCTACAAAGTCTGCAGCCCTCTCAGTCCTACCGCACCCCCCGACCCCTTCCATGGCACTAGCAAGGCTTGAGTAGCTGAAGGTAAGAACCCACTGAAGGACAGATCTTGTGACACCCACTCGGTGATGGGTGAAGTCAGGAATTAAAGTGGGAAGGACCAAGTAAGC